CATTGAGCACAATCAACGATGAAGAAAGCCGTCATCCGGGACGCCAGCGGAGCCGGTTAACCATCGATTGTGACAGCCACAACAATAAGACTGCTCATGCCCAAATCGCAGGAACCTTTCTGGCTAACCGACTATGGTCTAACGGCCTTGTCTCTTGATGTCGAAGACGACTGGCGAGAAGCCTGGAGAAATTTCAACGTGTCGAACAATTACCTAATTGACGATCCGACCAGAAGGAGGTCGGCCTTTTTTCAATTGAGCAGACAACACCTGGCAACTGTGAGTGACCAATATTAGGACCAGACATCCCTGAAATGACCAGACATCCGGCACAAAGAGAATGTGGCGAACGACGGAGGTTGTCCCACCCCTAACCTGATAGTATCTAGCGCGGTGAGCTTGGTGCAAAGAGAGAAAGTTCGACATAGGAATGGCAACGCTGTTCGAGCTCCGCCGTTTCACTGTTGAAATCAGACTAGATTTATAATCGCTGTTGCCATACGCAAGAAGACCGCTGAAAACTGATGCAATAAAATCTATTCTGCACCTGCGAAACGAGTCTGTGTTGTCCCTTTTGCTTTCCTTAGTCCTGCAAACGACATACTAAGGAAAGAACATCAGCATCGGCCGGAAAATTCACTGCAAGAGTCTTGGATATTCGAACTTGAAAGCAAAGATTGCTGCTCAGAGATTTTTCAGATTGTTTTACTGATCATTGACATCGGAAATCATTGTTTCCATTTTCATCTTTAAATTATCAATCTGTGAAAGCCCAACCATAGGATCTAAAAAACAGATGATTTAGAATTTTTTCAGTCCATAAATCGTCAGTTCGAACCTCAGTAGAGTCAGTCATATTTCACCCTTCCGCTGTATACAAACGAGTATTACTTTGTGTGAAAGGAAAAGCAGACCACAGCTATAAATGCCACCGAGCTGCAGACATCGCTTTCTAAAATAAGGCATTCCTGACTGATGGCGTAGAAACGATCTGTCAGCTTTCTCCTATAGGATTCATAAAACGAAGGGTGCAACAAATGGTGGTGCCCATCATGGGCGTTTAACGGGAACTGATACGCCAACACTTAAGGCTTCCCCCTTTCATGTTACTCTATGCGCTAACTGGCCTGAATAACAGCTGACAATTGCCTTTTTCGGTTACTCTGAACTCAGTAAGTTACTCCCATGCAGGACAAATGCAGACGCTCCTTTACCTGCACTAGTAATTGAATTTTCAATATATAACGGAAACTTGTTTTCGTAAACGTCCAGAAGCCATCCGCTGATCATAGGAGTTTACTGCAGGTTACGTGAACGTATTCATCACGAGAAACGTGATCCTTGCCGTTCACCTCCAAGGAATCTTCAAACAAACTTCGACTGGATCACAAGTGAATGATTTTGACAACTTTGCAATTCAAACTTTGCTAAGCCTCAGATGAAGCGACGTGCACAACACCTTTTGACGCTAGCTGCATTTACCTTAGTGGTAATGACGTCCGTTGCTCTGCGTCGCCCAAAGCTCGGCGAAGGTGATTTTGGAGAAGAGCACAGATTCAGACGATGGCAGTTGCCAGGCATCTTTCGAACAAAGTGGCTGGGCAATGAATAAGCATCGGCGTCATGGGCGATCGCATTAGCCGGACTGCTCTGCCTCACTGGCACCGATGGTCTGTCAGCGTTGTACAGTGATCGATTGAAGAGGATAGTTCTGCGTGGATCAAAGTCGCAAAACGATGAACAGCACGAACAGCGAGACTGAAATGCAGCCTACGATTAACCAACGAATCAATGAAGCAATGTACGGTACGCAGTCGAACACCCTAATGAGTGAAACCTCTATTTGCCTCACTCAGATGGCACTCGGCGACAGATGGATGGCAGCCAGGGTTGCTCGGTCCGCAGAGCGCCGGAATCACGGTCGAGTCGAAAGATAACGCGTTCGAGCTGTGGTCGGGTTTCTCGCCTTTAATAATGGATGTCATTTCGTAAGAAATAGATAGGACACCGCACTCCGCACGCTACAGTCATCACTTGGCTGTAGACACAGCCTCGTGTAAAAGCAGCTACGTGCTACAGGTTGGATCTAGGAAAATTCACCGACTGCAATTCACTGACGGAAAATTCACCGGCAACAATTCACCGACTGGAAAATTCACCGACCAGCATTTCGTCAAACGAAAAAATTCACCGACTCTACAACTGATCGCCGATGATTTATTTATTAAAAACCACGAAACGTAAAAAACAATTCATTTCATACCGCAAAGTATTGTCAATATTTCTATAAAATTGAAATCTGCTAATTTTGAATTAATTTGCCTGAAAATGATAATAATGTATGTACCTCTAAATTTCGAATAAAATAGATTTCATTGGAATAGTTCAATTAAAAGAACTTCTGAAACATTATTTACACGCAATGCCTAATTAGCAATTTATATTATGTGCCACACCCTCTGAAAAGCTCTAAAACGTTACTTCTGTCATAATTCGCAACTATTTTGAAAAGTCTCAGCGTAATCCCTATATTTCTTATGCGCAGGGCTACCTTAATGGTCACACATATTGTTCAATTTGCAATGTTCTGATGTTCTGCTCACGCTGAATCGCTTTAATAAACTTCCAGATATTAGGGTGTTGTACAGATATTTGTATTTCGAATCCACGATGCCACCCTTCAATTGCATTATTTGTCTTCGGAAGACGGTGTCTTACTCTTTCGAGACAGTTCCACATTTCCAGGGAGAAGCAGGGCATTCGGTGTCCCATGCGTCGTTGAGGGCGTCCAGTCCAGCACGCCTCAAAGTAATAAATCAAGTGTTGTGCATCTTCAGACATGTTATCATCGCTACCGCTAAGAAGCTAAAATGCTTCTACCACACCTTCTGCTTGGAAAAGACCAAGGCAGACAACATTCGCATTCTCATAGGAAATTCGACGTCAGTTTCGATCCTTCTTTGAAGATTTTCTGCCTGAATGCTTGGAATATACTCTGCAAGAAATGCAAGAAACATTTTCGATGTCCAACCCTTAGAAATTCTTAACGAATAGCACTGACTGCGGCAGGTTCGAATTCGGCCACAACTGTTTCTGCTAAGGCATGAGGTTGAACCTGATTTACTTGTTGCAATAACCCAACATATGTGGCCTCTGTCTTGTCTGGTAGTAGAGCATACGAAAACGGAACTGAACTCTTCACCTGAATACAATAGAGTCCATAGAGTTGGTAAAACAAATGAGACACTGTTTTAAAAGTTCCGTCCCCAAACCAATGCTCAGATGAGGCCAGTAAACGGAGATTTCGTACAGTGGAAAATAAAACAATTCTATCTTCCGTCGGTCCTGAATCAAGCAAAAAGAACGGTTCACTTTCTTTAAATATCTTGTACTCCTCAGGAAATACAATTTTTTCTCAGGTTATAAGCAAAGCTGGTGCTGCTAGTTTCCTCATTCTGATGTTTCGGATCGTTCTTTTAATACTGTCGTTCTTTGCAATACGTCCTGCAGCATCTTGCGTAAGTCCCACAAACGCTACTAGATATAATATATTGGGGTGCTTCTTGGCTATTTATTGCACAATCACGTACAACATCTTCCATCTTCAAAGCTTCCATATGAGCTGCATCCCCAATATGATTGTGAACTCCCTTCACGACCCCAGTAGCATCTCCAATTGTTGTTACATGAACCCGGCACTGGTGCTTCTGATACATCTCACACTTCCAATATGTCTTGTGAGCTTGTTTTTCTTTGAAAAATAAGTGACCGTCCACAAAAGTTTCTATCTTCCTTTTTCACTCGTGACGAACTGAAGGGCCATGACGGTTAATGAAGATTCGTTACTGAAGTATCCCACTCGAAGAACTTTTCGAAACTGACCTCTTTGAATTTTCTGAGGCTTTAAATAAGGATGAAGCATAGTTATTGTTCTCATTAATTAAGCTTTCAGATATGCTATTTCTATGTAAATGCGTTAGACAAAATTTATTTTTGTGTGAGTAGGTAATATTATAGTAATTATTCTGTTCATTGACATAATTTTCCAGAAATGTTATTTCCAAATAATACTGTTTTATGATCATCATAAATAAATCATCGACGATCAATCGCAAAATCAGTGAATTTTCAATCCGACGAATTGTTGGTTGGTGAATTTTCTAGTAGGTGAATTTTCCAGTCGGTGAATTGTTGTCGGTAAACTTTCAGTCGGTGCATTGCAGTCGGTGAACTTTCGGGATACCCTACAGGTTAACCATAGAGCAACATCGATTTGCGCCGCACCACATGCTTCGTACAGAAAGAGGGCGACGCATTGTGCTCAGTCATGGAACTGTGAAGAATACTGGAGTTCCGATAAGGGTCGCTCTTTGATGTGTAATGTCACTCGTGTCACTGACGTAAAGTGTTATAATTAAAGTCCAGAACAGATAGTGAAAACCCTCTGCTAACGTTATCGGCTAGGAACATCCGGCTTAGTCAAGATCTGGTGGTTTTTCACATTAACTGGTACACACCGTTCATATTCATAGACAGTTGTTTATTCATTTTCGCACTTCCTCATTTCTTTTGAATAGCAAAGTAAGCAAATTCGAAAGGTTTTTTAATGCCATTCTACTTCAGTAACTGTTCAGGGTCCGCGGTTAGAGGTTTCAATTGTTCCACACGTATGCCCCACATATTTGGCCCAAGGTTTGTGCATAGCCGTCTGCCACGAAGTTAGGAAGGGGAAATTAGAGGTGTGAGTCTCTCCCGTAGCATCCTGACCGCGTGCTGAAATTATTGCATAGAAGAAAAAGCAGCTCCTTAAAGAGATCAACTCGGATATTCCTGCTTCGATCTTGCTGAACCTCGTTACATAAGTAATCTTTCAAGGGAACCCAAAAGTGCGTTAGGTTTCAATGGTCATCGTCACAAAGCATGCGTGACTCAGCAGTCCTCATCATAGAGACGACGTTTCGGTAAGCTACTCCTGAGGCGCAACACCGTCACGAATAAGAACTTCTTCGCCCTGATGATGATCAGTGTCGTTTGAATTTAAATAAACGATTTCGAAAGTTTTCACCTAGAAGCACCCCTCAAGTTCTAAATATCCATCGCATCTCCCCTTCCTATTTCATCAGACCAGAATGATGAAAACCTCCTATAAAAAATATATCACCAATCTGCAGTGGAGAATTTACCTAGCGAACTTCTTTTACAGATTAATTTTGTGCATAAATGCGTTCTGCTGGTGCTGGAAATACTTAGCAACTCGATACACTTTAAGCCTCTAAAAGCACTGTTATGTTGCCATGTAACGAAGTCAAAAAAATGATTCTCTTAACTTCGTAAGGAGGATAGTTCAGTGTATTGACTTCCTTGCTGAAACATGTCTCGAACCGTTAATAGAGAGAAAAGTTTGCAAAACCTAGAGCTAAGACGTTTCCACGAATCTTTAATACAAGAAAGGTAGAATAAAGTTCAATGCATGCACTGTTTACTTTCCTTTAAGAGAGATTCTACAGATACTACCAACTGGATGAGCGTATGTATAGCAACTCTTAGCGTCAGACCGTCCATGTTCGCGGTGTTGCCATATGGAAGGTTTGCGATATGAAAACTGCTGATGAGTGCAGTGGCTTTTACAGTGACGGAAATTTTATGCCAGGCTTCGGTGTGGCCAAGCACCTGAGGGGCTTCTGCTACAGTCCGTACGTGTTGAAAGTTGTTGGAGTCCATTTGAGGTTGTGGTAAGCGTACAGATAATCAACGAAATCTAAATCATATCGGCGTGGCACTGACAGGAGGAGGCCACCACGAAGAGGAATCTTGATGGTGTATCCCCACTTCATTTTGTCGCAAAACATTCTGACATTCATTCTGTTTTGCAGTAACTGCTTTTACATTACGAATATCGTTGAAAACAGCGCATGAATTGTTTGTGCGGGAGATGACATTGGGTTTCGGTGGTCATAAAACGTTTCACTTCAACCTCGGTTCGAGTACTATGTTATTATACATAATATTGAAGTCCCAGACAGCGACAGATCCGATAAAATATGCATGAAGCTGCTTCATATCGCATGCTCTATGCGAGAAATTTTGTGGTCGTCGCCGTCATACCTCGCAAGGCATTTCTTTCTAACATCACACACAGACGTGAGCGTCCCAATTCAAAGATGCGTTTTACACATATTATGCACTGAAGGTGCAGTGCGCACATCATAGGAAACCCAGGCCATTGTTGAGCTTAGGTTTGATGACTTATGGATTGAAGACCCCTTACTCACGAAAGCTTGCAAAACATTTACTCATAATTTGTGTAAGTCTTGCAAAGTTAGAACTGGCAATAGCAAAAATCTCCTGTCTCCCTCTTATTGCTTTTATCGAAAATTATCAATTTTATTGTCCGTCCAGGAGATGACTGCTGCCATAAAATAATAAACTCAAATATAAATCGTATTCTATGCCAATAACAAACACATCATTAACTGATTTCTGTTCCATTATTTTATTTTATTTTACAGATGGCCTAGGTAATAACTGAGGCATGTCGACAGCCTGCAACTAACCTGCGTCCTGCATTCGTGGAAGAAATGCTCAAATGAAGTAGTACTGAATGCTGGACGGAATACGGCTTTAACTTAGCCTGAATGCTGCCGCCGCCTTTCATTCAAACAACGCATTCTCACAACATCTACGCTTCACGAAAGATTGTTGGTGGCTAGAAGATTACTCACAGAGTTGAGGTCGAGTTGGTAACTGGGCTGTCTGTCCAGAAGTTCGGAAAGCAAGTCGTTTGTGTTTTTCAGTCTTCTAATAAATTCCCTAAATTTAAGTTTTCCACATGCCGAATTTACAAAGCATCTGCTCAAGCTATCACTTGAGTAACTCTGGATGATACGATACGCCACTACCCTCACATGAAATTTCTCTTCCGCTGTCCGTCAGGAAGTCGTTGCGCGCTAAGCCTTCTAAGTCGTCTTTGATTTTTCGGATATCGGCTTCCGTTGTGAGAAGTCGGCCGCAGAGCATCTGGTTTTCTTTGACCAGTTCCTAAAAATTCATACCAATCAGTAATTCGACCTTTCTCAAATCCGTTTCTTACACTTCATGCTCAAATCATCATCACAGTTATAACCAGTTCATCTTGAGTCACCCACAGCAACGGACACTTTCCCTTACCACGTGATCAGAAGTATCCGACTGCGTCCAGACATCAAGCAGAGAAATCCATCGCGGTGAAAAAAATAACTTATTTTGTGTGTGCGTGTGGCAATTCGTGAAAACAACGGGTAGAAAACTTTTGCGTTTCATCAATCCCAATGAAATTTCCTTCGCAGAAGGGTCTTCCTTTACCACCGTAACTGATCAAAAAATCACCTGACTTTTGGCATTAACACGAAAGTTTTCTTTTCACACTATATAATGAATAAACAACAGCCACAGCACCTTCGCTTGCAATGCTTGATCGCGTCTAATACTGTCTAATACTGTTTTTTTCTTCATGACCACATGTCAAGTCAAGTTTCTTGCTATGGTTAAGTAGGAACGATCGATCCTTCAGAAACTTCTCAGAAGGCGAAGCACAAAACAGAGCGATAAAACAAGATAGGTACGGTCAGGCATACTGAATACCTGCACAGCAGGGCCATTCATGAAAAGCTCGGTTGTACAAGACAATAAAAAAACTAGCAGAGACCTTCAGAATCACATTCATAATTAGCAATTCTCTCTAGTGCATTACTAATAGTAATGCTATCAGCTGGAGGAATTATTCTTGCGCGTTATGAAAAGTTTGGTGTCGCACTTCTGTAAAATCTGTCACATCTTCCCTGCTATTCAACGTTTTTGCAAACGATGCATCTGCATATTTCTTTATACAATTTGACTCCTGTATGATACCTGAATGAACCAGCATCATGCACAAAGCAAACAGTTAGACGCTGATAAATCTGTCATCAAATCACCTGTTTCCCTGGTGAGCCAGTGGTCACACCCTTACACATCAAGGCC